ACAATTTGTTTTGTGTTATCTGTGGTCTGTTTTTGTTTATTTGTTTTGTTCATTATTCATGTTTGGGATTTATTTGTAAATTAATGTCAATCGTTAGGCAACCAGTAAACTCATAGAATATGTATTTTTTTCGCATAATCAAAATTGTCAGTCAAAATTTACACTAAATTTTACATAACGTGAATTACTCTAAATTTTACATAACCAAATTGTCGCTCTACATCGCTGTCTGTTTTTTAGACAAATGTCAGTTGTCTCGTCATTATTCAATTCATTATTTGAATTCTCAAAATGTTGCTAACAAAACGTGCAGGTTGGTATAGGTATGTATCTATTTTTTGTTGTTTGTGGAATGGATCTGACCAAACACGATCCATTTTTCAAAAAATCAAAATAAATACGTTTCTCGGTTGATAAACAGGCAAATTCAGCCGGTTGTCCGGAGCCCGGAAACAAAGTGCCGCGTCATGTCGGTAAGTAAATTATTCGCATTTCGACGAAACAAAAATTTATTGGCCCGGCCTCAACATTGCCGGTGTTCCAGCGGCTCAGATTAATAAAAAACACACAAAGTTTTCAATTGAAAGTCGATAGTTGGTCAATATATACATTCACCGGTAGGAAAAACGAATATCTTAGAATTTTCATGTATTTTAAAGCTTTATATCCTCCTGGTAAGTGAGACCTGGGGTCGGCGTTTCCATGTACCTATAAGAGTGAATCGCTATGGCAATCTAGTCACTTTCTTTGAAAAATCATATTATAATTGTCTGTTGGGCAGTTACTCTAGCAGATATGGTTTTAAGTCCAAAAGTTGATCTCTACCATGATCAATTAAAGCAGCAATAGCCGATATTTCAGAACTTAAAACCATCTCTACTAGACTATGACTAGAGTGAACGTCAATAAACAATAATAATATGACTTTTCAATGACAATGACATTACAAAAACAATATACACTATTTTATAAGTATGTTGATGCGGACCCAAAATGAATGCTAAAATTGCTGTAAATCGTTACTGTCTTATTCAAAAGCGAATACCTCCAATAAAAATAAAGCTATTGAGATGAATCAAAATATCAACATTTTGTTTTGACAGAGTTTCATTTTTAATTTAGAAGGAGAAACTGAAAAGTCAAATAATTTAGCAACAAATTGTTTAAAAAATCATCACAGAGTCGTAATATGTTTTGTATAGTTTGTTACTCTGAGCATTAGTAAAAGCATAGGGAGGAAAAAACGCAAACATTAAAAACCGAACATTTTGCAAGAGCAACGGCAAAAACAAACTGGTAATATAATGAACGACCTACCAAACGATTCTCTGTCATGGGGAATAAATTAATTCCCAATGCTGGTAAAAATCCAAACGAAAAAAACCAGGAAAATTGTTTGATTTAAAAAAAAGCTCAAACTCAAAAAATATGTTTCCAAGTATAGTTAAATATTTTAAACATTTTATTTCAGAAAAATATTCCCTTATGACCTACTAATGCATCATCTTAATACAATATGATGATGCATTAAAAGATGATGCAAAAAAAACGATGTCAGCGATGGCTATGAAATGAAGATTGCTATCATTTTATACCGGGGCGTCTCAAATGTGACTCACCCCCTATATATTTTTTAGTTCTTCATGATGAAAAGAGATTTGGTATGTTAGTATATGACATTAATTAGGATTAATTGACGTATTCAATTCTCTTTGTGCCAAATTTGGTTAAAATCGGTTCAGCGGTTTTTGAGTTATCGTGTTACAGACGGAGAGACAGACGGACAGACAGACAGACAGACAGACACCATGAAAATATTATGTATTTAGGTCATTTTGAGTGAAATTAAAAAAACTTTTTTTTGCCGATCTTAATAGCCTACCATACCTATTGGTGTGGTCAGTTTGATTGGGATTTGGAAATATTTTTGAAACCTCGCCCAAATGTCTAGAATTTACCAAAAAGTTATGTCAACGGCATGCGATTGGTGGTCTTTTCAAACCATTTTCAACAATTTTTTTTTTTCAAAACATAAGCTAACAGTAAGTAAACATAAAATAGTTGTTTATAGTAAATATAAAAATATGTTTATCGCGTCGACAAATATTCCTTGTACTTAAATATTTTCTTTTCAGTACAAACGAGTGGCAGTAGCGAAAGACACATTATATAACAATTTTTTATAGCATTGTGGTGGATGGAGGAATTTTTTTTTTTAATTTTGAATTTGGTATGTAAAAAGAGGACTTTTTCAATACGTGAGAGGAAAGAGGACACTGGGGATCAAAAAGAGGACTGTCTTCTGGAACAGAGGACGTTCTTCCCCTAGGAGATGCAAGACCTTGTCGTTGGTGGGGCAGCTCCTGGTCAGGTGCTGGGGGGAATCCCCTCTAGTACTTGGCTTGGTCTAAGAAGCATCTCACTCATCGTCTTGTCCCTGACTGTAGTGTCGTGGCCAGGGAATTGCACCAAGACATATAACGATACCGGGCGGGGCTACGGACAGCCTCAACCTTGGGGCACCGGGGGGCACCCCATTGTATTTTACCCCTTACTTCTACATGCAGGGCTCTGTAGAAGTGGACCGACTTTCCCTAGCGACTCATAGGAACACTATGAGATCTGATAATAATAGTAATAAAAACATCACCGGTGAAGCTGTGGGGAAACCCCCTAGCGACACTGGGAACAGTAACAATGAAAGTTCCAAGGGGTCAAACCCAAAGAGAACTACAGGAGAGGTGGCTGACACTTGCGTGAGACCATCCTCCGCAAGTGGCATACAAGCTACCACCTCCTCCAAGGGTCGGGAGCCTACCTCCTACCTCTAAACCCAACAGGCGACACAAGCTACCGTTTCGTCTACCCGGCCTGGGTCGTAGCTCCTCGACTGTGAGGGACACGGGTCTCCGTAGGAAGTCCTGGGACTGTATGATGAGTTATAACTCAAGAAAGGGGGACACAATAGATCTCTAAGGTCGCAGAGATTAACCCCCCTCAAAGTAACAATGAAAGTTCCAAGGGGCCAAACCCAAAGAGAACTACAGGAGAGGTGGCTGACACTTGCGTGAGACCATCCTCCGCAAGTGGCATACAAGCTACCACCTCCTCCAAGGGTCGGGAGCCTACCTCCTACCTCTAAACCCAACAGGCGATACAAGCTACCGTTTCGTCTACCCGGCCTGGGTCGTAGCTCCTCGACTGTGAGGGACACGGGTCTCCGTAGGAAGTCCTGGGACTGTATGATGAGTTATAACTCAAGAAAGGGGGACACAATAGATCTCTAAGGTCGCAGAGATTAACCCCCCTCCCACTTATTCTAAAACAGAGGACGTTTGGCAACCCTAGAATACTAGCTTACTGTTATCGTCTAATATCAAACCATAGCGCTCTGTTAGCCGTGTAATCATCGATACACACGTAATTAATACGATCCGGAATTCATACGTCCGTACAAGCCACGCGTATCAATCTGGCTGGCCAAATTTACCTTAGTAATAAGCAATTAAGCGCACACCTGTCATCTCGTAGCCAGAAAATCGGCTCGATCACGGATTCCGGCCACGGTCTCTCATTTTCCTCGCCCAAATCCCTACGCAAAATCTCTCTCTCGCCGGCTCTTGTTTGTTGGAAAACAAAGGGTTCGTTCGGGAAAGTGCGAGGCCTAGGCTGAATATAAATCGGGCAGTTCTTTCGGCTTAGACGACAAAAAAGTTCGGTGTAGTTTTGTAAAGCTAATTTCGTATTGACCAGATCGAAACGTGTCGTAGTTGTATTTGTAATTTCGATAGGATTTACTAGACGGAGTAAAACGGTATTTTTTTTTTCTAGGATTGGAAAATTAAATTTTATTTTGTGAAGCATGTATGTAAATATACCCACAGCTCAAAATTCCGCCACCCTAAAAATTTCACTAAGTTTAATGTTTCACAACTTTTTATTTTGAAATTGGATTTTTATGATTATGGTATCAGTGTGAAGATAAATTTATTGGCATTATTTAAAATATTTTAATGGCTTATATTCTTCGGTTAGGTGGGTTTATACTGGGATAAATCTAAACGTTGTTTTTGCAATAAATTCAAAACACCCTGTGGAAAAAATGAGACGGGCATTTTGGATAAAACACACTTTCCTGTAATCTTAGATGTATTCCTAACATTCCATTTTTTGAATTATCCCGTTATTTCTATTTTTTTATGAGCTACACTTTTTTATGTATATTTTTATACAGGGTGTCCCAGAAATAAGTGCAAATATTTTAAGGGGTGGAAGATCTGGTCAAAAGAAACATTTTTTCTCTTTACCGTTTTTCAAATAAGTCCAAAATAACCGAGTTAAGGCCTGGTTTTTCTGACCAGATCGGCCCGAAATATTTCGGTGATATAGCACGAAAAGTTCGTTAGCGTTTCCGGCCAAACCCAGTATATGTGTAGGACGCAGTAGTGGTTTGTCTAGATCGGAACGAAATTTCGTTCCGAAATTTCGGGAACGTATGCGGACAGCAGTTCGTCTGTATCAAACTAGTTTTGATTTGAACGATCTCAAATCGGCGTAGTTCGCCGAACTTGTTAGGTTAGGTTAAGGTTGTGAAAAATAATTGTCAATTTCGGCGGATTTATTTTTATAAAATTACTATTTACAGTATGTGTGTAAAGTGAATCAATAAATTAATTAAAATTCGAGTGTTTATTTCTCGAAAACATATTTAGACCCGTCGATTTTCTTTTCTTGTCACGCATTTGAATAATAAAATTATTCACGGTGTTTCTAAAAAGTTGGGCTGTTTATTTTTTCCTGAAAATGCGCGACAAAAAATAAAACGACGGATCAAAACATGTTTTCAAGAAAAATCACCAAATACCTGAATTTATGAATAGGGAAGTTCTTGTTTCCATCTTGTTGCCCATCGATGGACCATCAGAAGTAAAAAAATAGATGATGAAAAAATTCTGATGGTCCACCGATAGGCAACAAGATGGAAACAAGAACTTCTAATTTATTCAAAAGATGTCCGTCGGTAAGAAGTACAACAAATTAGATTTTTCTGCACTGGAAGATGAACTATTAATTGACAAAGTTAAAGAGAATCCTCCATTATATGCGAAAAAATTAAAAAGTTACAAGGACATGAAAATAAAAGATAATATTTGGGCAAAAATTGCAAAGGAAATGGTAAAATCCGGGTATAATAGAACAGGTAAGTACAAGCTAAAATAGAACAACTTTTTTTATTTAATAAAATAGAACAACATTTCATTTTTCATAGGTAGTTAAACTAAACTGCTTCACGGGAATTAGGGATATTAGTAATTTTCAGATATTTAAATACATAAAAAATGCACAATAATAAAATCATTTTAGGCCGTATCCCTAAATCGTGCAGCAGAATGTATCTATACATAATATTTAACACATTATTTAAAATAAATGTTTGCTGAATGTATGTAAAACGTTAGTTTGAAGAGAGCTCATCGTCATGATATCGTGTGCGATTTATAATATTATTTTGCCACCCAACCCTGCCAGCATCTTTGTTAAAATAATCTTTAAAAACTTCACGAACATGTCTAGCTGCAAAAGAGGGCCGTCTGTTCTGAGAAGGCGCTAAAGGTGAAAAGGTTTCAGCAGGAATTGGCGGATTTGAATGGGTATTTTCTTCTGGATATGGTATTTTAGAGTCCCTTAGCATATTATGTAAAAGGCAGGTGGCAAAAATAATATCATCAATAGTGTCGGCGTTTTTACGCCAATGGGCGTAAAATAAATTCTAAAATATTGGCTTAATATTCCGAATGCATTTTCCGTAGTTCTTCTTGCTCGACAGTGGCGGTAATTATATGCTGCAATTGTGGTGTCAGATGCAGATAAAGTTTGTGGATAGGGCTTCATCATATTTTCTGTAAGTGTAAATGCACTGTCTCCAAAAGGATAACATGGGGCTGTAAAGTAGTTGTGTTTGGAAGAACTGCCGGTGGTGGAAGATTGAAGCTACCTGCAGCAATTTTTTACCAAAATTAGATTTACTGTACACCCCAGCATCTCCTTCACCTCCATAAGCTCCTACATCAATGGCTACAAACTTACAGTCAGCATCGACAAGGGCTAACAAAACTACAGAATAATATTCTTTGTAATTAAAATGTAGCGATCCTGTGTTTGGGGGACAGACTACTCGAACATGTTTTCCGTCAATCGCCATGCAACAGTTTGGAAAATTCCAGCGTTTGTAAAATTCTAGGGCATTTCTTTTGTGTTGATTTTCGGTAGGAGCTGGCATAACTATATCAGTCATCTTGTTACGAATAGCAGACAATACTTGTCGGACAATAATACTGATCCAACTATGACAAATTCTGAATGAAAATGCTAATGATCGATATGACTCGCCCGTGGCTAAATACCTGCAACAAAAAATTATAATCAGGGATAATAAATACCTATAAGAAATTAGAAATAATATTAAAATACCTATAACAAAGTAGAATATTGAAAAATATTGCCATTATTTTTAGGTGAAGAGTGCAAAAAGAGATGGTCTAACCTACGAGACTACTATGTTAGAAAGAAAAAAGTGAGTTCTACCGGAAGTTCAGCCAGTCAGGGAAATGAAAAGTTTCATCATATGAAATTTTTGGATAGCACAGCGTTCGTACATCGAATGTAAGTAGGTACAGAATTTAATTTTCTGTTGTCATTAACGGTATTTTTGAAATATTCTATTTTAGCACAAAATCCAGTGTATCTGCTGCTGCCGTCGCTGATGGAGAAGTAAGTGATGACAATGAGCATGAAGGAAATGGTTCTGATATAGAAAGTCAAAATGAAGAAACGGAAAATCAAAGTATAATAGAGGAATTACTCATAGAAGTAACACCCATGGAGGAAAAAACAAAGAAATAAACGAGACACAAGAAATTACAGCAACACCAACTCAAGTCAATAAAGTGGGCAAAGCTGATCTGGTCCAAATCGAAAAATAGCCGGCACAAAAAAAGTAACACAAACCGAAACACGTGGGAGAATAGATGCAAAGAAGGCCAGAACACAATTATTCCAAGATATTCACAAAGGAAGATCCGAACGAATGACATTACTTCGCGATATAGCCCAGCGAGCCACTACCTCAGGGCCTCAATCAACTGAAGATCCGATTGATCTGTTTTTCAAATCATTGGCAGCAACAGCTAAAACACTATCGCCGAGGTATTTGGCAGAAGCCAAACGAAAGATCTTCCTTGATATGGCCGAAATTGAGGAGAAAAATATCGAAGAAAAATATCCACCATCAAACCTTTCCCCTTTGCAGACAGTGTACGTATCAACGCCAAGCCCATCCCCTTCCCTACCATCACACTCTGACGATTCTTCCTCGGCTTGTCATCTCATAAGACAAAGAGAATATAATATAGTTTATGGACATCCCGGCGGTCCCAGCTCTACTTACAACACCGATTCTAATAATCAGGAACAAATGATGTCACCAGATGGTACAGTACAGAGCTACTTAACTGATTTTACGCCATTATAAATATGTTGTTTAATAAGATAAGTACGTTTATCTACTATTTTACTATTTTTCTTATGAAAAAGAATAAAATATTTATTTTTATTAGTTTTTTATTTATTTTTGACATATTAACTATAGATCTATGTAGGTACGTATTTTTGAATTAAAAACTTCTTTTAACGCGTTCACCTCTTTTTTTACTAAGCAGCGAATTAAACTGACCCGTCATGAATCATGCTCATTCACGTTTTATCCGGCACTTTCATATAATCGTTTTTCAATAAAAACTTACATACCTTAATGTGAGACATAACTTTTCCTCGGGAGAGATAGGAGTCGGATGTTTATTTGTAGGTTGTGAACTGATTTCATTCTTTATGTAATCTAGTACAGTATGGAATAGTTGTGGAGTTAAACGGAAAAATTCTTTGAACTTTGTATCATTATCCGAAAGATGCTTTAACACTAACAGTTTGTAAGCACCTTCTTTGTCCCTATTCTCAAACATTTTCAGAACTCTATTATGTTCAGAACATACTTCTAATAACGCATAGTACTCATCATCATCATCCTGTTCTTCTTCTAAAATCATAGCGATAAAAAAATCCATTTAGAAGCGTAAAAAGAACCTAGGTACGTACAACGCAAAATTTTAATGATTGAATAGACCGAACTGAAATACCTAATCATAACGAATATAATCTCCGACAAACCACACGCAGACGAAACTTCGGAACGAACTGAGTTCGGTAAATTAGAGCGTTCTGTACGGAAATATTCACCGAAATATTTCGGGCCGATCTGGTCAGAAAAACCAGGCCTTTATTTTACTTTGAAAATTTCCAAAAAAAAATAATTTTTTGCTAAAATTTTGAGAACCACTGGATCTTTTCTGGATTTTCTTTGTAAATTTAAGCTACTACCTATCTTGCCATATTATCAAGAAATTATGTTTTTTAACATAAAATTTAAAAAATTTCCAATTTTTTTCAAAAAATTCCAAATTTTCAATTTTTTTTTTGCAAAAAATACCTCAGGGCGTGTTTCTGAGGCCGAAATATACTACCAGTTAAAATATTTGCACTTATTTTTAGGACACCCTGTATAGTATTGATTTCAAAGATTCTTTTATTGACAAAAACAATAATTTAATAATAATTTTAATAGCGTGTAGTTACACCTTCGTCGTATCGAATTAATAAGGGTAGTTATTTTTTCTTGATCAGGTAACAGCTTGATTGGTGGGCAGACTCAAAACCCTAGTGAGCCACAACCTCCTCGAAGCTTCACATATGGCGCAGGGTCGGAGCAATTGAGGGGAATCAACACATGATGTCACCATACTCTCACGTAGAGTGAAGGAGTGAAGAGAGAGAACAGGCTTGATGAATATAAAGCTATAAATCAAGAAAACCCTTTACCGTAGATTCCTCGGTTAATACTAGCCATAGCTCTTGTAACGTTTGCGGTAGAATAGGACGACGACGAATAGCTCTTTTAAGTTCATCGCACAAAAATGTTCGATTGGATTGAGGTCGGGAGTACAAGAAGGCCATTCCAATCTTCGTAGTCCAACCTCATCCAGGTACTCGTTAACTACTCGTACTCCTAACTCGTTACCCCGCACAACGTGGGGCCTGGCATTATCATGAATCAGTATATACTGATTTCCAATGAAAGGAGCAAAAGGAACACAATCCGAAGATTGTTCTTAGTTAAATCAAAGAAAATATTTGATTTTTCTCGGTCGTAAGTCCTGGGAAATTTCTTCAAGTGTCTTAGACTATTGGAGAATTTCCATTCCAGGTTACGGATGGAGTCTTCCAGGTTCTGGACTTCTGTTTTAAGTTGGTCTCCACTTGGAAAGCAGAACGGTTCTGGTCCACTCAGTGGAGATCACTCTTTTTTTAGCTAGATCGTTTGCTTTTTACCTTTTTACCTTCTATTCCATTACCTTCTATACTTTAGTACTCTGAGTAGGAGGACTTTATTTTATTTGTCTAATTTTCTCAGCTTCTCTAGGCATTCTTTAACTAACTTCGAATTGATGACTACTGAATTGATTGCTCTTAATTAAATTTATATTTTATTATTACTGAAAAACAAAAAATCCATTATTTATTTAACAAAAAAAAGAGCTTTTTACACTTGCAACCTACGGAGAATGATATATTGGTATGGAAACATATACAATAATCTAGAGTCTACAGTCCCTCCTGCTTTTTTTAATCAACTTAAATTGACTATAGATATAAAAATAAAATAAGAGAAGATCTTCTAAGATCATAGTAATACAGAAAATAAACGTAAAACACATAAATTTTGAGTAAAAAAAAAGAAGAGCTAAGAAAATCCAAATAGTGTATGTATCCCTTAATTTGATTCTACAAAAACTAGGCCAATGAGTTCGTTTCGTTTTCGATCTCATCACTTTTTGAACGTTTATTAAAAATTGACGATTCTCTCTGCATCAGACTAGCTAGCTACGTCTAACCGAGAAATTTACAACCAGTGTTATCCCTTCTGCTTTTCCGAAATAAAACTGGGCTAATGAGTTCATTTCCTTTTCGAACTCATCACTTTTTCAACTTCCTCCAGCCTCGGACTGACGAACGCGAAGGCGTTACCACCGAAAAAGCCCGAAAGTAATAGCGGAAAAGCGGCGAGAAAGTAATAACCGAACGCTCTCCATAAATAACCCTTCTCCCAGCACCTCCGATACAGTTTTCTATCAATAAGTAAAAGCAGGGAGGCGCGCTAGGAGCCTCGGACGCGTCCAGGCGAGCCGAGCCGCACCGTAATATTTCAGGAGATTTCCGACCGCTGGAATATTGCTAACTTTGAGCGTGAAACATCTAGACCATCATTTTGCAGTTATTTAGGTGGCTAATGATTTAAAATCATAAAGTTTTCTTGGATTTCCATTATCTTTATGTATTCTCCATTACTTGTATGTGTAGATATGTATATCCGATGGTGGTCATACGACATAACTTGGCGTTGGGTTCTAAGCCACTACGAAAATTGAGGAGAAAGAACGCTCTAATCCTAGATCATATACACTTACGTGGGCAAATCAACGCCATAAGTTTAGCATTAAAAAATATGTCTCCAACATCACGACATGCCATTTTCAAACCTTCTTTGTTACACTTATGAAACGTTCAGTAGGTTTGTCATTCTCGAGGACCTTACTTTGCGCATGCGTATTAAAAGTTGCACGTAATTCCAAAATAATAACAATTTGATACGGTTTTAGCAAGTACAAATTATACATTGTTATGGAAACGAACTTTTTATTGTCATAATCTTATTTCCATTGTGTAACGACGCTTTTTTATTTTAAAAATTGTATTAATTACTCTTTTATCGACCCCTTTTATATAGCCAAGGATGTGTTCAGTGAGAAGATTGTGCAATTAAATTTCAATTTATTTCCGTTGGACTTTCTAAATACTCGTAAAAATAACTAGAAAGTGTTTAGTGTGTGAAAGTTCTAATATAAAGGTCCCCGAATTATCTTTTCATAGGCAAGTAAAGTCTTCAGTTGTTCTTTTATTTATATTAAACCACATGCATACTCTCTGGTTAAATTTCCTAAGAATGTTGATATCGTACGGAGTGGCTATTGTATTTTTTTTGTGCTTCGTCGATCTTAAAGAAGTTGCCGGAAAGAGCATAACAGAAATCACCCGTTACCTTAATGCCACTGAGTTGTTATAAACAATCAACAATCCAACCATCATTTACCACCCCGAAGAATAGGCACTCAGAGTGAGTGGTATCAAAACGGCAATTCTGCTAGGTGGAGTTCGACAAGCGGTGACACTCGCTACTTTAACCAACCAATCAACTAGGTGCCGGGTTAGAGCAAAGGAAAAGCATTCAACACAAAGGCAAACCAACGATATAGAAAGGCATGGATCGGGAATCTATCTTGGTCTAAAGCCAGTACTTGCAACTACTAGGTATCTTAACAGGACATATAATAACTGTCAAGTGCTACCTGAACAAGCTCTAACTGTATAAAGGAAGTATTTGCAGCAGAAAGCGACACTTACAATTGGGGAAAGCAAGGCTAGAACTGAAAGAACTATTCTCCCATTCTATCAAGGACATGAGCAAACTGGTGCAGGATACGGAGGGACTGGATGTATACATAAAAATACTAAAAGTTCAGAGTTGTGTTAAAAATGCTTTCTATAAAAGTTCTAACTTTCTATAAATATTGCCGCATCATCATATCTTCAAAATCGAAGTAGTCTAAATAAATGTCATAATTTTTGTGACTTAATCTAAGCAGGACACGATGAAATGAATTAAATAGAAACATTTTATTTTCTGTATAATTTATAACACTGTATGTACGAAATATTATGAATTAAAGTCAATAAGTAAACAACCGTATGTCTGACCTCTCAGACCTGAAGTGTTGTAAAGATTGCCGTAGGAGTATCTAGTTAG